TGTCGCGGTGATGACTTACAAAAGGATTCCAATGTTAGCGTTGTCTGCAACAGCATCATACAACCGTTAACTAGTACCTGCAAGCTCACACTGTTAGGGCTTTATTCGAAACTACTGCAATTAAGCTGTGAATTTAAGCCGGAGCTGAGTGACAGTGCCCTCTGTATACATGCCATTGAGCATGGGGATTCCTTCAGAAACAAGGCATGTTCCTTGCACCAAACCCCGGGAGCGGCAGACGGAGCCGCCCGCTGACCACATACCGGCGACGCCGGCAGTCCACCTGCCTAAACCCGCCTTCCCATCGATCGCACCCCGCTGCGCCTGACACCGCCGGATCTGATCCTTGCCTCTGCCGGCGCTGACTCACCCCTGCCCCTGCTTGGTCGCACGAGCGAGGCAAGTTGTCAGGAATTGGAGGGGAGGGGGGGGGGGGATCAGGAGCATCTGAGGCGTTTTTTTTTCATATACCGTCGCAACTTAGCGCTCAGTTATCTCGATGGTTTTTCGAGGTAGATTTGATCCCCTAAGCCCTCGCCCAAATGACGCGATGACATACTTTGCCTATGCTTGGTGGTCATATCGTCCCCGCCCCTTTTGGAAACGAAAAGAAACGGAACAGGCAACAAGATAAAGTAACAAGTAAACAGCTAAGTTAACACCTAACAACAAATTACATGTAATAAGCCAACGGCAGGAATGGCAACGCATAGCATCCGTTGAATGCTTGAATGATTACCACTTGGGACGAGGTCGCAGAAAAGTGTATTTGTGCTAGAGCGCTGTTGCCGAGTCAAATTCTGACTAATGCGCGGCGAGCAAACTTTCGTCAACCTTGTTCTTGACAATATGGAGCGGTCTGCCTGTAATTACGGTGGTCAATCAATGAGGTGGAATTTGAAAGGGCAGATCGGTAAAGTCTGACAATGGCCCCACAAGGATGATAAAAAAGGAACCCATCAGGGCTGGGTATGTGGGTCTTATCTGCGCTGGTTTCATGGGTCCCAGCTGGACATACCCACGTGGGTTCCAACTGAGTAGTCCGGGTGAGACACATGTGGGTCACAGGCCCAGGTGGGCCACATGTGGATTTCAGTTTGCCTCCACATGGGTCTCAGGTGAGCTTCCCATGCAGGACACAGTTGGTTGCTCATGACATGTTCACATGGAACTGAAATGGGTCTTAACTGGGCAGCCCAGATGAGCTCCATGTGGGTCCCAGTTTAGCCCATATGGGCCCCAGCTGGGCTGCCCATGTGGGACCCAGGTGGTTGCCCATGGCATGCCCCATGGGATGGAGGTGGGCAGCCCTGATGGGCCCCATAAAACTTCCCATCTCGGACCCACACGTGTCCCAGTTGGACATGCTGGTTGGGGTTATGCATGGACGTCACTTGCAGCTGTGTTAAGTGAAACGGTGGTGCCGACACCTGGGCTGCCTGCGTAGGACTGGCCAGCATTTAGCCGGGTCCATTCGAAATGTTTCGGGCGAGGGCATATCCCGCTCGAGGCCGTGCCTCCCCTCCCCGAGGATCAGAAGTGCGTGTTTGACAACTGCGATGAAGTACACGTAACGGATGAATGTCCGGTCGGTGAGGCGTCCCTCGTTCACAACGCAGCAGCAGCTGCATCTTGATGATGGCGATGACGCTGTTTGGTAAGCACACCCTGTGAATGAGGATGCGCTAGACGCAGCTGCTTCTGTTCGATGTTTTACAGAGAAGAAACAACCCGCCGGCCGCTTTATGCCGCATGAACCGGATTAAGTATGTTTGACCCGCTTGCGGCGCGTAGACCGGATTGGTGTACTGGGGTCACTATGACCACCTAGAAATACCGTGATATAACACGTGGGGTACGCTGTGTATGCAACCTGCTGAGGTCACACCGTCCGCTCTAGGACGTACCAAGTGTACAACGACCACATTAGGACGCGTTGCGCAGGCAACGAAATGTGGCGTTCGCAGCGGGAGCGGGACGCGTGGCACGTTCTTGGAGCGTGCGGAGGACACCAGGACTGCCTTGGGATGCACGTGATGAACTTTGTATGCAGGATGCTAATCCTCAGGGGTGTCAGGGGGCGCGTGAGCCAGGGATATTGTTCAAAGTTAAAGCCATCACAGCGGGCTCTGCCGCAAGACTACACGTGAAGTCAAGTGGAGAAATGGGCGTGGTAAGAATGGCAGTTCGCGACAAGAACATCACACAATGTCCGGCTGACCTAAACAGGGGCGTGAAGATTGCCGGTTTCACCTACAAGCTGGGCTGACCTAAGACTGCGGTCACGTGCCATGGGTGGCGTAAACCACGTGGCGGCAAAGGTAAGAACGGCGAGCCTGACTACGTAGCTTACAGCAAACCTAGAACCTGTCTGCATAGAACCACGTCTGCAAAACCTATCATTAAAAATTAATATTTAGGTTTAGATATTTCCCTCCTAGGAGCATACCGCCGAGCGTAACGCTGACGCGCGTTCGAGAGCAAGAATCAAGGCAGTCCGGTATGATTTTGGTCGAGCCCTGATAAAGGCTACACAAGGTCACTGACATTAAATGAGCACCATTGACGTTCTGCTTAGAACAGCTGTGTCTAGGCTCGCGATGGTTGCATGGGAAGGTCCACGGGTGTCAATTTGTATTCTTTTACGATGGTCCTGCCCCCCCCCCCCCCCATGTTCAGTTGGCCCCCCCTCAATGTTGGCTTGATCCCCCGTCATTGCTTTCGGCTGGAATGCTACGAAAATACGTGGGTAAGAGGTGACCATAACACAGAGGCTAGCTTCTTTTATCTTTCTGCGCGGTCGCGTCTCGTACCACTCTCATAACAGAAAGTCATGTTTGCCCTCGCCACAAGATACAAATCGTAATAGCTAAGCGGGGAAATGATGCAATAAACTTAACATAACTAGCGTCGAAAGACACGCAACGGTTTACGAGGTTAAAGTGAAAAGCTTTGGAATATGGGAATGACCTAAGTCCATCATGGCTTACCCCGTCCCCGTCCCCACAACAAACTGCGCACCGGCTCCCATGGCCGCCAAAGAAGAGCGGCATCGACGCCCTAGGGTGACATCTTAAGGGGCGCCTTCGCGTGCCGGTCATAACAGACGCCTATGTCCAGTGCCGGCTCCCTGGATCTAGCCCTGCCTGCCTTCTTTACTGCTTAAACTAAAGACTTAAAAGTTATACAAAGATTCAGAACATATATTGCGTTGAATCCTAGTTTGACTCAGGGGCCATGGCGTATGGACCCCAAAGGTGGACACAGGTGAGTTCAAGTAAAGCCTAACACACACTGAATTTAGTACACCTGACACTTAGTTTCCGAGATCTCGGAGGGGAATCACATTGACCCCCCCCCCCCCCGCACACACACCTGAGCGGATGGTATTCAACCGGCCACCCAGGCGCGTGTTGGGGAGGTAATTCTGTCAGAGCATCTTAGACAATTTGTAACCGCCCGCACGAACCCGTCCGTGGTGGCAAATGAACAACGTGAACCAAAAATGTTGAGCGGTGCCCAACTTTGGCAGCTCTAGTGACGGCCACATATGTTAAGCCGCACACTAATAACGCCAACGCCCACTTTTCCCCCTGTTTCAACTGAAGGGAGGAATACCTGCATTTCGATTTCCCGTTTGATGTGATTGACCTATGGAGCTGGCACAACGATGCTTGTGAAGGAGTCATCAGTTTATTGTTTGGCCAAGGTCGGATGATTGCGAACCAAAAATCATGCATGGGTTTCAAAGTTCTCATGATACTTATGTTGTTAGCTGGGTATGACCACTGCATGTTTTTTTTTTGGTGCGTTTAAAGCTACCACCTGAAACTTTCACCAGAATTATCAGGAGATTATACTCTATGCGTGAGCTGATTCTGGTGCCAATTCAAGAAGTCCGGTTTTTTGGCCTTGACTTCTTCGACCTGCTCTAACTACTTGGTCTATATTGCTGCGGCTTAGCAGCTTCACCAAAACAATCAGAAGACTTAGACCTATCTATGCACCGATTTTGAATCACATCCAAGTAGTACGATTTTTTACCTTGAATTTGACTGCGCTATATCTCCAGTCTTCTTTAGCTGCCACTTTGCAATTTTAACGGAATATTCAGAAACAAATGTTCTATCAGTGCACCAATTTTGGTACAAATACAAGTAGTCCTATTTTTGACCTTGAAATGTTAAACATGCCGCAATTTTTTTCGTTTTTCAAACTGCGACGTACACATTTTAGGAAAATGATGACGAAATTAAGCTTAATCAATGTAATAACTTTGAGGGGAATCAGAATAGTCCGATTCAAGGCCATAAAACAGAGGCCAGGGTCGATTTTTTACCTTGAAATGTTTGACCTGCTATAGCTTTTTTGCCTTTAGACCTGCAACCTAGCAAATGCACCAGAAGAATCACAAGGTTAAGGTCTATCTGTGTGCAAATTTTCAAAAAGATTGAAGTAGTCCGCGAACATCGATCTCAATGTGAATCTGAATCTGGTGCCAATTTGACGCGCGTGATATTGCGCGCGAAAAACCCGCGCCAACCGCGCGGTACAAATTGGCGCACTTTTTCAATTGTGGTGCTTGAAGGTTCATTCGGTGAGGATTTTCTTGTGCGCGTGGGGATTCTGTGTCTTAAGTGCCGACGTCTATGCCCACGCTGTACGTTATACTGTTGTCTCTGATGGTTTGCGAAAGCGCGAGCTTACTGCTTATGTCACATTGCTGACGGCTAACAACAGCCGTGGTTTGGCGAGGGGCAGGAGACGGGCGAAAGGCTCGCGGACGCTGGAGTGGACGGTGATAGCAGACCACTCCTGCAAGCAAATAAGACATCTATGAATGTACTTAACTTATGGCTATTTTTCATATTAACTGTTGGCAGCATTAAGCATCAAGGAAAGTAAAAAACAAGCTGCTACCTAACAAATTTGGGATTTTTGGTTCTATTGAGAGCAAAATCAGCAAACTTGGAAGTATAACATGTTTTGATGTGATAAACTGTTTGCAACAGAGGCAACATTTTACATTGTGAGTTTGGAGTCAAATTTGGTTGGTTGTTTTCATGCATTTGGGTGAAAAATGACCCTTGCAGTTAGTGTATTCTGAAATGCCATTAAACAATTACTTAATACTGTCAAAGTTGAAAATTTAAGTCCAAGAATAGATAATAACATGATATAAATAATAAATCCAAGCATTACCAAGCACAGGTTACCCTGTCTTGTCTTCAGTTAGCCATATATCTATAAAATGCCAACAAGATATGTGGGCCACACAGAATCCTGTCTCAGTTGGGGATGGGAAGCAGCAGGGGAGCAGCAGTCTGTCACCAGTAATTTTGTTTCACAAGCGTATAAGCATTTATTTGCATTTGCCCAGTGGGGTAGACATCTGATGTTACTGGTGTGTGCCTGAGTCCACCCCTGCTCATGCCATCAGTGCTGCTGTGCCTGGGTATGCTGCTGCCCCGAGCCTGTACTGCCTGGGGCGTGGCCGGGGTGGGAGCTGTGTGCTGGGGCTCCCATGTTAGGACAGTTACCATGTCGCAGCGCTCGTGTCGGGTCTGAATGACTGGTCTGGCTGAAGGGAGCGCAAGCAAATAGAGCATGTAAGACCTGAATATACCTCAACTCTGTTCCAGCAGGGTCTTATCCACATCAGCCATAGCTTGGAGCCTGGCCATATTTCTTGACTGTGTGGTGCATGTTTTGGTTTTCATTTCTGATATGCTCAATATAAGAACATCAGGTTTCCATGATGTCAGGATACCTTTCAAGTATCCATGTTCCAGACATTGTTGAAGGCCCATAATGGTATGTTTCTGGTGCATGTTATTAGTGACCAACCTTCCCAGATCCTCATTATTGTGCCTGATTTGTTCTTTAGTGTTAGCTAAGTGTTGGTGATATGGAGGCATATTACCTATGTGATATAAAGACCCTTAATAATGTCTGTTTTGTGCTCTACTTCAGGTAATGATGGACAAGCGCAAGGTGAATGGGACAGGCTCATCTGGTCCCTCCAAACGACTCAGGTATGACAAGTTTAACACTCACTTAAGCATGTCATTTGCATAACCAGACATTGTTTGATTTCACAAAATTGGTACAGCACAGGATTACACTGGCAGCAATTGGATTGGAAGGGAGGATTTCTTAGCAGCTGGGAAGGACCTTGCACATACCAGACTATGATAAAGTTATGCCAGTCCTCAAGGTTGTATTTCAACAGAAAGCTTGAAAAGGTACAAAAGTTATGAAAACTGTTTTTGTTGTTTATTAACCATGAACCACTATGTACATAACCAAAATTCTGTCAACATGTTTTCTGCACAGAGGAGATGGAGAAGATTTCCCAAGATCAACATTTGAGGAAGAAATGGCATTAATGGAGTCAATGGAACTTGACGAAGCTGCCGGGGATGGCCCTGAAGTGCAGGTCTGTTACAGGTCCTCACATGCATGGGTATCTCATTGGTGTGTGCAGCATTTTACTTGAGTCCTGCAAGTAATGCTTTGTTTTTATAATAGCATGGCAGCTAAGATTAATGTCAGCTGTTGTCAGCTCAACACATGGAGGGGATTAGGTTGACCACAACATAGTCACTAACATTTGATTGGTCCAGCCGTCATGCCAAATATGCCTTTGTTCAAACTAGCCCAAATCCATTCATTGCCACACTGTCAGGTTTGGCCAGTTTTAACCCCATTTGACCCCTCATAATTATGGTGATGAAATAACTATGACAACTGGTTTGGTTGTTTTGATCAGCATGTAATCCATCAATGACTGCAGGATGAAGCCAGCCCCTAGACAACGCCGACCAGTGTAGAGCCAGACAACTGGCATTTGAACAGCTAGAGTTCAGAGCATGGAAGTGCTGTTGGTATCTAAGATGCACTCTGCCAATGATGTCACAAAGAGTGGCATGAAAATGGTGAAGGCGAGCAGCCTATCCCTATCAACCAATTTTGCAGCTGGGACCAATAGCTTGCTGCTCACTGTTTATTACCCTTGGCGCTGGCAGGGTCCTGAGAGCCAGGAGGTCAACATCAAGTGGAGTCGGCCGCCGCTGCCGCCGCTAGACCCCAGCCAGGATGCCATCATCTTCCAGCAGATGGAGACCGACTACTACCTGGGTGAGGGAGTCATTCTGGCTTACCTCTCTAGTCAGCTGTGCAACATTGCCGTCCAGCGGTGTGTGGCGGCTCTACCCTACGATGGAGCGGCTGGAACGCCATGATGCAGATGCTGTGCTTGCAGATGCACGACACTGTCCAAGCCACAGCCTCGGTCACGCGTTGGTGCGCCGGTGAGGTCAGCTCCCGGTCCCCCGCCAGGCGACCTGTCTGATGCGCTCTCTCGGCCGTCAGGTGCACCGCTGCCGGGCATGCCCGGGGCGCAGGGCGGCACCGTGCCCATCATGCGCATGTTCGGCGTCACGGCCGACGGCCACTCGGTCTGCTGTCACGTTCACGGCTTCGCACCCTACTTCTTCGTGTCGGCGCCGGACCGGTTCACGCCCGAGCTGTGCGGCTCGTTCCAGGTGGGTGCTGTGGGAGGACCGGTGCGCGCCGCCGGGCGCGGCTGGTGTGGGAGACCGGTGCGCGCCGCCGGGCGCGGCTGGTGTGGGAGACCGGTGCGCGCCGCCGGGCGCGGCTGATGTGGGAGACCGGTGCGCGCCGCCGGGCGCGGCTGGTGTGGGAGACCGGTGCGCGCCGCCGGGCGCGGCTGGTGTGGGAGACCAGTGCGCGCCGCCGGGCGCGGCTGATGTGGGAGACCGGTGCGCGCCGCCGGGCGCGGCTGGTGTGGGAGACCGGTGCGCGCCGCCGGGCGCGGCTGATGTGGGAGACCGGTGCGCACCGCCGGGCGCGGCTGGTGTGGGAGACCAGTGCGCGCCGCCGGGCGCGGCTGATGTGGGAGACCGGTTCGCACCGCCGGGCGCGGCTGGTGTGGGAGACCGGTGCGCACCGCCGGGCGCGGCTGGCGCGGGAGACCGGTGCGCGCCGCCGGACGCGGCTGGCGTGGGAGACCGGTGCACGCCGCCGGGCGCGGCTGGTGTGGGAGACCAGTGCGCGCCGCCGGGCGCGGCTGATGTGGGAGACCGGTGCGCGCCGCCGGGCGCGGCTGGCGTGGGAGACCAGTGCGCGCCGCCGGCGCGGCTGGCGTGGGAGACCGGTGCGCGCCGCCGGGCGCGGCTGATGTGGGAGACCGGCGCGCGCCGCCGGGCGCGGCTGATGTCGGAGACCGGTGTGCGCCGCCGGGCGCGGCTGATGTGGGAGACCGGTGCTGTAGTGTGGACTCCTGACTGTCGCGCAGACTGTGCGCGTATGACGTGTGTTCGCGTTCGTTCTGAGGAGCCCGATGGGCATCTGCTGTGCTATCTGACTGTGGTTGTACACCAGCGACAGCTTGTATCGATGCCGAGTTGCACCGGCTGCGGCCCGATGCCGGCGACTGCGCCGCCCGTGCTGCAGCACAGCCAAAGGCATCGGAACCATCGCCCTCGTCACCAGCCAGCAGTGCTCTGCGACACTCTCCCACGGATCGCTGTATCGTCTTCTGCGGCGTAGACGACGGCGGTGCCGCGGCGCCTAAAACATGATTCCAGTCGCGTGTGCAGGCTGTAAATCGTAATGTCTGCTACCATTATCCTGATTCCCCACGGCTTCTGCACGCGCAACGGTTCGCGCACTCACGGTGGCCTAACGGCGCGTCTCCCTGTGAGCCGGCGATCTCCGCCCGTCCTGCAGCGAAGCCCCTCCAACATCGCTCCCTGCTGAGGCGCCTCCCCCCCCCCCCCCGCCCTGCAGCGCAGCCCCTCCAACGCCACGCCCTGCTGAGCCGCCTTCCTCCTCCCCCCCCCCCTCCCGCCCTGCAGCGAAGCCCCTCCAACGTCGCTCCCTGCTGAGGCGCCCCCCGCCCCTCCCGCCCTGCAGCGCAGCCCCCCCCCCCCGACGTCACTCCCTGCTGAGCCTCCTTCCCCTCCCCCTCCCGCCCTGCAGCGCAGCCTCTCAACGTCACGCCCTGCTGAGCCGACCTCCCCGCCCCCCCCCCCCCCCTCCTCCCGCCCTGCAGCGAAGCCCCTCCAACGTCGCTCGCTGCTGAGGCGCCTCCCCCCCCCCCCCTCCCGCCCTGCAGCGCAGCCCCTCCAACGTCACGCCCTGCTGAGCCGCCTTCCCCTCCCCCCTCTCGCCCTGCAGCGCAGCTCCCCGACGTCACTCCCTGCTGAGCCGCCTTCCCCTCCCCCCTCCCGCCCTGCAGCGCAGCCCCCCGACGTCACCTCCTGCTGAGCCGCCTTCCCCTCCCCCCCCCCCTCCCCCCTGCAGCGCAGCCCCCCGACGTCACCTCCTGCTGAGCCGCCTTCCCCTCCCCCCCCCCTCCCGCCCTGCAGCGCAGCCCCCCGACGTCACCTCCTGCTGAGCCGCCTTCCCCTCCCCCCCCCTCCCGCCCTGCAGCGC